GTTCACCGATCTGGGACCCGATCGTCGTTTGGGTCACGTTTTTAGTTGATCACGGTTTATTCTGCCCGTGACACTATAAAACCCCTCGCAAAAAATATCCCGAATTATACAGTGTAACCATTCTATGGAAATTCATTGATGTAAGTTGTAATTTAAATATGGTATCTGTAATTACTCTATTACTCAGAATATTTCAAATTAATACCCATCTCTCGTTTTATCATTTCTCGAAATAGATTTCGACAAAATGACTAATGCTAATGTAGATTGTATGTTTTACGTTTAATTAATTAATCGAATATCAAGATGTGAAATAAATTCTTACAATTACATTATGATGTTAACATTTCTTTTGTTGCTATATTTTCTATATTCATGAATTGTAGACCAAGCTATTGCAAATAATATCATGCCAGATCTCGGTTATGAAATTGAGGATTTCCAATATCATACATGGCAAATCACATGTTGGAGCGGTTTGGAAAAGAGGATAACAGGTCCTGAATTTGAAGCTGGAGGTTGGAAATGGTAGGTTCACTTAGATACAATAACTCGAATATAGACTCGCGTGTTAATTAGGTTAATTAGGTTATAAACTTAAAATTTAGGCGTATTTTGCTTTTTCCTTCTGGAAATAATATTCCAGACTTTGTTTCAATTTATTTGGAGTTTGCTGATCCAAAGGGAGCACCTACCTATTGGCATTCCTGTGCGCAATTTGCTTTGTTCTTATGGAATCCGGGAGATCCGACATGTTTTGTTTCTCTCAGTATGTATTAAATTATTCATCATTTGATAATATATACCATTAACATTTTAATCTTTGATTATAGATGCGCATCATCGTTTCACTGATGAAGAACACGATTGGGGATTTACGCGATTTTACGATCTGCATAAGCTGTTTATCCCACCTGAGAATCACACTCTTTCAATAATAGAAAACGATACTTGTAATATTACAGCCTTTGTTCGCATTTTAAAGGATCCAACTGGTGATCTGTGGCTTAGCTCTAAAAAGTATTATATTTTCTTTTAAATTATATTATGGCCTTAAAATAGTTTTTCATGTAAAACCTTTTTATATAGTTATTATTCAAAAAAAGTGACTGGGTATGTTGGCTTAAAAAACCAAGAGGCAACAAGTTATATGAATGTCGAGTTGCAATTATTATATAGCATAAAATATTTTCGTAAGGTTAGTGCTTCTACTTTATTTGAAAATAGACCTTTTTTACATCAAATATAAGAGTATTTAAATTTACTTCTTTAATTATAGGCAATATATCAAATTCCGACAGAGGATGATGAACCAGATAAAAGTATTCCTTTGGCTATCCAAAGAATTTTTTATCAATTACTAATATCAGATATGCCGGTTGAAACGACTGAATTAGCAAGATCTTTTGGTTGGGATTCGTCAGATTGTAGCATACAGCATGATGTACATGAGTTTGATAGAGTGTTACTAGATTGTTTAAGAAATAAAATGAAGGTGGGATTATTGTTATTGTATTAAATAATATTTCAAATTATTCAAATTTTCACCTATTAACTTTATATCTGGGTTTAGAATAAAAATTTAGATGATGCCATTTCTAGACTTTTTGCTGGAAAAATGAAGAATTATGTCAGATGCGCCAACGTAAATTATGAGAGTTCACGCATAAAAGATTACTATGGTATATGATTATATGTCGTGATTATATGTATATAAAATTTTTAAAGATTAATTTTATCACGATAGATATTCTTCTTGATGTAAAGGGGCACAAAACTTTAAGCGATTCTTTAATGAATTATATTTGTGAAGAATCTTGTGAATATCAAACTGAAACTTATGGTTTACAAGTAAGTCATATTTTTATCACAATGCTATTGGAAATTAATTAAAAACGAAGATTTTATTATATATTGTCTATAGGATGCAAAGAAAGGTGTAATTTTTGAGAGTTTTCCATCCGTACTACGTATACAATTAAAACGATTTGAATATGATTTGCAAAGGAATACTGTGGTTAAGGTACCTATATCTGTTAATTTTTATTATGACCTCTGGTATTTGGTTCAATAATTTGCTGATTGGAAAATTATACTTAGATAAATGATCGTCTTGAATATCCTCTTGAAATTGATTTAGAAAGATATTTATCACCAGATAATGTTAGATCAAAACCGCATAATTATTTACTTTATGGGTTTGTAGCAGTGGTATCAGTATTCTAAATGTTTATGATTTTCAGCACATATTAATAGCTTTTTACTATATTTAGAGTAATTGTTCATAGTGGTGATTTACATGAAGGCAGTTATTATGTTTTTTTAAAGCCAGAAAAGAATGGCAAATGGTTTGAATTTTGGCAATAAATTAATTTTTAGATCGTGATAATATGTCAAATATCTAATATTAATTATCATAAAAGGTTCAAATTTGATGATATTAGAATTACACCTGCAACTGATATGGAAGTGCTAGAAGATAACTACGGAGTTGATGCCATCAGTTCAACAAATGCATGCATGTTGATATATATCCGTGAATCCGATATCGATTTTGTGCTATCATCCATAACTTCTGAGGATATACCAAAACATCTGCGTGAGTGATGTTATTTATGAGACATTATAACTTTAAATTGTATTTTAAAAATTTATATTTCACGTACACATATTAGTAGAAAGACGCTTAGATGATGAAAAGAAAGCTTTATATGAACAGTTAATAAAAAAAGTCGAAGAATGTAATTTATGTCTGTATGCTAAGGTATTTAAACTAATTAGTGATAACGTTATGTGAATCAATAGTAATTATATTATTAATAGCAATTTAAGTTTTACTTTCAACTTTTACTATTAGATTGTGACTCCAACTATCTTTGAGCGCTATCAAGGATTTGATCTTGCAAATTTCGGCGATCGACAATATCCGTTATCTGAAGTTCCACAGTTTAAAGTTTTGAAAAGTGAGACATATAAAGCTTTCAAAACTAAAATCTCCAATAAATTTGGGATTCCGGTTGAGCAAATAAGACTCTGGGTTCTTGTAAATCGCCAAAATAGGACTATTAGGCCAGATGTTCCAATAATGGGCGATTGTCTTGACATGAGTAAGTTATATGTAAAATACGATTCTTTTCATTTCGTAAAACTTCTATCAACATGTAATTTTTTGTGATGAATAGCAATGGAACAAATTCACACAAAAATGGCACCAAGACAAAATGTATTTAAATTATTTTTGGAAGTGGCAAAACCAATTAACGGCAAAGTAATGCTTAGTACTTAACAATCTATTATATATTTAATCATGAGTTTATGCTCACTATTTCAATTGTTTATTTGATACGTAGATAATATTCCCACTGGCAGGAAATACATCTATATTGGTTTTCATTAAGTATTTTAACCCTGATACACAGTCTTTAGTGTATGTAGTTTAAATATGTTCTATTAATTAATTTAATATGAGAATTAATCTTCACGCTTATGTAAACAGAGGACTCTGTCAATTATATGTTCAAAAACTTGGTAAAGTTGGAGATATTATTCCAATTCTTTGCGAAAAGAAGGAATTTCCACCACATATACCATTGAAAATATACGAAGTAAGATATACTTTGCATGCATATTTGGTTTTTTCTGTTAATTGCAGCGACATATTTATTTAATAAAATATAGGAATTAAGGCCAAATATGATTGTAGAAATGAATCCCGAATGGACTTTTCTACAATCCGAGATACAAGATGGTGATATAATTTGCTTCCAAAAGGCTTTAACTGAAAAAGAGTAGATTATTTATTATCCTATTCTTAAATTGTCTTTTTTTAAAAAATTCAATTTTATAAGAGAATTTTACTGCTTTTATTTAGAGTACAAGAGCATACTGCTGCGGGTCGTGTTCATGATATCCCTACATTTTACGAGACATTATGTATGCGTGTCATCATTCAATTTAAACCGAAGCATAAAGACCAAGAGCAATATCCTGAATTTGAATTGGTTTTAAATAAGAAACACACATATGATGATGTATGTTGAAATTACTTTTTCACATTATTATGAATGGTAAAGTGAAAAGGATATATGATATTTTATTGAGTTTATGTTAATACAGGAATTCATAAAAAGATCATACTCATATAATACTATAATTTTTTTAACAATTTATTTAATTAATAAGTATTTATTTCGTTTCTTTATATTTCTATAGGTCGCCAAACGTGTTGCTATTTTTTTAAGTATGGATCCTTTAAAATTACGATTTACAACGGCAAACAAATCTGTAATTAAAAAGGCGACCACACAAACATTGTCAGAAATGCTTCAAACAACCTATTCATCTAAATCAGTGGAAGTTTTATATTATGAGATGCTTAACATTAATATTGTGGAGTTAGAATCCAAAAAATTCTTTAAGGTATACTGGCTTGGAACAGCTGTCAGGGAAGAGGTAAAAAGAATATTACAATATTTCGATTTATATATTAACAAATCATTAATAATTATTTTCCATTATTAAAGGAAGTGATTGATATTTGTCTTCCAAAAACTGCTATAGTTAATGAAATTTTTAAAATAATTATAAACAAACTAGCATTAAGACCTACTAGTAAAATTAGATTATATGATGTCTTACATTGCAAAATTCAAAAAGAATATGTTACTAACGATCCAATAGATTTGATACAGGAAAATATTACGTTATACGCGGAGGTTGTTCTTTCATTCATTTTGTGACTTTAGATATTTATTATTTTGCTTTTATTTTTGGAGATAACCTATTTCATATTTAGGAAATACCACAAGATGAAATCGAACTAGGTGCTAATGATAAAGTTATTCAAATATATCATTTTATTAAGAAACCGTTACGCACGCATGGAATTCCATTTAAATTTGTTATTAATGCTGTAAGTATCTTTAAATGTTATTTTCATGTTAGACTACTTGCATTTATAATTATTATTTTACGTTTTATACAATTAGGATGAGCATTTCTCTAAGACAATGTTGCGTCTTAGAATACGGTTAGGAATGAACGAAAAAGATTTCTCGAAAGTAAAAGGTGCGGTCGTACAAGCGCAATCATTTGCTAAGTTTCAGTATATAGATGATAGTATGTATACTCGTTTTTTTTCAATTTTTTATCTTTAAATTTTTAAATTTGCTGATAATTTCCATTAAACACATTCAATAGAAGTTATTTTATCGGATTATGGATTAACAGATGAACTTCTAGGTCTTGATCTTGTGTTTCACAAACTTGAGATCGCCGTTGTTACAAACTGGGTTGAAAGTGCAAATGCATACATGCACTGTTTAGCCCTGATAGTTAACGACGGGTCATAATGAAGATTAGTATGACTTTATGATGTAAAATTCAGTAAAATATGACCAAATATGATCTATGACTAAAAGTCATATGATTATATGAAACAATCATATCAAAAAAAGTTGTAATTTTGCCCTAGATCATTGATGAAAATGTACAATGGCTGATATTCAATTAATTCTTTGGCTCCAATCGAAATCGCACAAATCCTTTTTTTTTAATAAAAAACAGCTTTTGATTAAAATTAATATTATCTATATTATAAAGCTATGTTATCATTGATATGCTAGGGATGCGTTAGGTCAACTATTTTCGCTTAGCCGATTTATAGTTGGCATGATCCAGTGATCCAAATTGGATTGCTGGATCATGAGATACAAAATGGGCTAAGCCGGTCAAGTGTACTAGTAATGTCAAGGGTAATGATTTAATTAAGAGATCTACCAGTTGCAGCACATATAACGTTCTATAGGTTTTGTAAATAAAAGACAGTTTTCACTTCTATGCTAACATTTATATCTTACAATATAACCAGTATTCCTTATTATAATAAAAATTTTTGTTATTCCATATTTATATACTATCTATATTTTTTCCCTTTACGTCAAAACCTTTGAAGTAACTTATTTTGAAATGACGTTTTGATACAATCGACGAAATCAATCTCAAAATTTGATTGGTTGGCATTCACGTTATTATCTATATAAATTCACAATACATTTAACATTTAATTATTCTCAGCTATCTATTCTATTGAATATAGATTGAATTTCTACAACCCATTTAAAGATCCAAGCTAAATTCGTTTTCAAGACACGTTCAAACCCAATCATTGCTTAGATGTTTTTTACCTATATATTTAATATAAAATATTGAACACAGTTCCGAAATAAAATGCGATTTTGACTTTGATTAATAGTTTGTTAACACTATTTGCATTTATGTCAAGGTTTCTGATATGCTTAAGTATTTTTAGTTCTATTTTTTAATTAAAAACTTCAGAGTTCTTATCCTGACCGCTTTTCTGAATTTCTAATCCAACATTGTTTCATCAGGTTCACATAACATATTTTTTGTACGTATTATTTGATATTCATTTGACTTATACCGGTAATTACATAATACAGCTTTACCGTACCGTTGTCAGACCCAAAATCGGCGAGTCTGTCGCTTGATCAATAAGAGCGTCGTGTAACCAACAGGTTAGGTTACGTGTGTGTCGAAAAAGGCGCGTTAGATTTGGACGAGCGGTCATGCAAAGTTTTGGGATAGTGTTTTATACCGACTAGTTTATATAGAGAGCGTATTTATCAAGAGTTATGTTCAATTTATAGATGTATGATTTATTAGGAGTAATTATAAGATTTATGAAAAGTTATCGTTATTGTATGATTAAGTGATTTAATAAAAGCAAGACGGGAGTTATCGTGCAAACTCTTATGACCATAGATTTTTTCTTCATGTTATTTTTTGTACGTTATTACATAAGCACAACAATCTCGAATTAAAACTCAGTTAGCCGAAAATGACTTGAAAATCATGATCATAATTGCACGATAACATCGATATTGGATCATGCGATGATAAATATCATAAAATTTGTTCTGTCAGAGCAAATGATTGGCTGAAATGTGCCGCTGCGCGGCACATGTCAGCCAACCATTTGCTCCGACAAAACAAATTTTATGATATTAATCGTTGCATGACCAATATCTTATACTTATTCTTCCCAAGGGCCAAAGGGGCCTTTATTTATAATTGCGAATTCTATTATTTACATTCCCAAGAATCTTCCATATCCCAAAAATCATCAATAAACGCAATATCGGCCTTATAGTCGATCCGCCATTTTCACCCAAATTACGTATCCTAATCCTCCAGATCTGGGAAACCCAAATTAGGATTTACCGAGTCACGTGGTCATGTGTCATAGGACGACATTCATATGATTGCTAGATCAACCCGTGATTTCCCGTGATAATTGGCCAATCAAAATACATCATTTTTAAAAAGCTTTATCGTTTTAATACTACTAGAAAACGAAAGGAACTTCACGTTAAGAAGTTTACAAACTAATAATGCACGCAAAAAGAATTTGTCTCGTTTTTAGAAATAGTTAATAACACGTAAATTGATATTTATTATTAATAAACCCAAGCTCAAATCGATCAAAAAATTCAATGTGAATAAATTATTAACGAAGCTATCTTTTATTCTTTATTCCATTTTGAAAAGTAATTAAAATAATTCTATTTTATTTTAAGCTATCATACCTTTATTAAAGACGCGACATAACCCACATAACCCTTAGCCCATATAATTATTAATAAAACAATAGCACATACATATTATCGACTACTACTTAACCCAAAGTTACATTTATAACTCTCATAATATAACTCTATAAACATAAAATATACAGTAAACGTTAATACAAGCCTATTATTATTATAATATATAGCATATTAAACAGTACACTCAAAGTTCCAAGTTTAAAGCTTACATGTAATATTTCAATCTTCTTTTTTTATTAACCGTTTTTGGTATTTAAACCTTATATATAGTCAATATAACTAGTATTAGCAATATATAGTAAAAACATTTGCTTCTAAATGAAGTTCTTGGAGAGGTAGATTATTTTGGATTAATTTTAACAGTGAATATCTATGTTCGTTTAGAGCTAGAATTTGCTTTCATAGTGATTTTTTTGTTAGTGAAACGTTATGTTCTCAAAAAGTATTTTAAAGTGTATAAATAAGTTATCTGGGTAATTGATTAACATTAGCCAATTAAAAGAAAGTCATCCTATAAATTTGGAATCGAGTTTCCTCATATATATTTTTTTTGTACTCCTGTTAGGTTATACAAATACCTCTGGATTTTTCAGGTTCTGATCTTCCTAATTAGACCAATTTCTGGTACACCATTGGGTTACAGGATTTAACCTGATGCAGATAATAGTAACTGTGACACAAAATTAAATTCGAAAATCATCATCCATAGGATTCGAACTCTTAACCTGCTACTTGAAGAGGGTGATGACTAGACCAACCTTCTCTCTTTTTTAGTTTTCCTTTTATTTTGTATTTGTTTTTTCTTTGTTTTTTATTGGTAGTTCTTCTACCTAGAAGGCTAAGAGAAGAAGGTTCAGAAAGAAGGCAGTCATGATGGGCTAGTGAACCAGGTCAGTGATCTGGAGATGGGTTGGTTAAAGTAAAGTAAGCCGAACCTAACCGAGAAGATTGAACTTATTTTTAGCAGATCGCATATAGATCCAATTGGAAACTGGGTAAATCACATTCTAGATTTTTTGCTATAAGGCATAATGTAATTCGGACAAATCTTTTAGGAAATGTAATACCTCATCAATAAAGCAGGCATGTGACATGGCTGTCAAATTTCAAAAAAAAAATATATTTACCAACTTTCACCTCTCATCACTTATCACATTACTTTTAATTTGTTTTTTAAATTGGTGTCTTTCAAATAGGTACTCTTTGTGCTTCTAGTTTGGTGTTTCTAAAGGAGCTACTTTAAGGACCTAATCTGTATCTCAAACAGATGCTGCTAAGTTATATAACTTATATTTTAAGCCACTTGCTACTATACTAGAGTGTTATTTCATATTAATTCAGGTATTCACATCATATATTACCAAATTAGACTACTGCTTCTTTTATAGTACTCTCTATTAATATAATATTACAGAAGTCTAGATTTTTAGAATAAGAGTTAAGTATCTCATTTAATTACTGTCACAAGCAGTAACTCGGAACCTGCACTTCTGCTATATTTTGTCATTAACCTCTATATAGATTGTGTGATATATTATTCACTGGCTATCTTAATTTTTATATTATTAAAATGCTTGCTTCTATGCTTTTTAGAGTTTTTTTTAGCCAGTTTTTCTTGTTTTTCTGCACTAGAGGTGTTCTATATTTGGTAAAGCTATTCTTTTACCATAGCCTTTTACTATATTCACCACTTTTCTCATCACTTCTAGATATATCACATTCAACCGTCCTTCTAATCAAAATTCCAATACTGTCTTAGAATTGTTGGTACTATCTTGCCAATTGTGAATTCATATGCACAGCTTTTTGCAGTATTATCTTCCATAACCTATATCACATATAGTGTCTAATCTTTTTCATAGCTTAGAGCTCCTTTCAAAAATTCTTTATTAGCCAAATATGTACATTACATAGTCTTACTACTATAGAGTTTCATATTTGAAAGCTTCTAAAAGTTACAGAGATAATTAATTAAATTAATTACTACTAGTTATAATTAAACTGTCAATCTTATCTGTAAAGGGTTAGGTATCTAGACCACTAGGCTATAGGACCTAACTTCTAATAATATAGCTATATTAATAGCTTAAAAAATTATATAATACTTCTAAATTTAGCTTTACTCTAAATTTAGTTTGCAAAAATCTTTAGGACAGAGTTAGCTTTGCAAGAATTTTTCAAAAGAATCTTCAATTAATTAATACTAGTTCTTGCTTTATACAATACAGTTTGTGATTTTTTATAACTTCTATTTTCAATTTAATTGATAATCCATTTTCAAATAAGGCAATTATATATATCTATATATAGTAAATTGTGACACATTTTACTATAAGTTTTACTATAGCCAAAAATACCATTTTACGTAAACAATAATTTGTTTACATTAGTTGACAAATCATTTTCTTGCAATATCTTGGCATCTAATAATCAGATTTTAATAATCTTACTATCATTAGAATCAAAAAATGATGCTTTACAAGTTTACTTAAAAATTAAAAATATATTTACTTAGTAGAAAAATAACTTTACTTTGTCGTGAAGTGGTATTTGTGGCTTAGCAATTTTATATAGTAAATCATATAAATCTGCACATTACAATTTACTATATGTGGTTGTCTTATTCAGAAACAGATTATCAATTAAAATTATAAACAATACAAATCTTTTAGAAAAAATATACTAATTTTTTTACTTTTTGTTTAACAAAGATTCTTTAAAAAAATTCAAACTAAGCAAGAATATAGAAAAAGAGTTTTTAGTTATAAGTTTTTCAAGATTTTAAAAAAAAGTATTAAAAAACTTGTTTTTGTTGTTTCTCATATTTTGTTATAGTTAACTTTATTAATAAAAAGGCTTTATGTTTTTACCAAAATTTTATATACAAGTTTACTATCTTCTACTAGTTATTTTGTATAAAGATACTTTTAGCTTGTATGTTAAATATATAAAAGAAGAGCATAGCAATGTAGTAAAGTGGTAAAATTATCGCACCCCAAACTAGTTGGCTATAATACTGAGTTTGATTTTTACTAGTGATGATTTGAATAATTTACTTGTATCATAGTAATAGCATATT